TGTGTGTGTGTGTGTGTGTGTGTGTGTGTGTTGGGGGGGGTGACAGATGAATGAAAATAAAATTCATTCCTTGCAGACTTGTCAATCTGTAGTTAAAATTTTGATAAGTGCAATCTAAATATACTTGCAGGCCATTGGTTTGGTAGAAAACCAAAGTGACTGGTATCTTGGAAAGTTGTGGAAAAACCATCATCCCTGGCCGGCCCTGGTTAGTACTATCAAAAAACACTCAAGAAATATGTAACCTGTATGTCAGGTTTTAATAATTTGGGGTATGTGTTTCTTGCAAATGGGGAAATTGCATATTAATTTTCTTTTCTAGAAATAAAGTTGGTTAATTTCACACTGGCAAGGTATTATGTAGAAAAAAATTAATTGAAAATTACACTTATCCAGTGAATATTTAATATGCCACCATAAGTTGCTTATGGAATGAACTGGGCTAGTAAGCAGGTTGTTGGTTATTATAATTGAAGTAAGTATTTTCTTTCTATAGGGTAGAGGTTTTAACACGGGTGTGATATTACTTGATCTCCAAAAGTTGCGTGAATACAACTGGTCACAAATGTGGAAAATGGTGGCAGAGAAAGAACTGATGAGTTTACTGTCCACAGCATTAGCAGATCAGGTAAGGAAATAATAAGCAATAAGCTAGATCTTCAGTGCTTGGGTTTTGAATTGGGGTCATAGTGTAGCTTCACTGGGAAGGGAGAAGTATATTGGACATTTATAGGTAAACTGAAACTATACATAGACCATTAGAAGGATGTAAAAATACAGTAACGGTGTTAATTGGCCTGTGTGAGAAATGAATGCAATTGTCATTGGCATTATCTAGTTATCTAGCTCTTTGCTCAAATAAATGTACATTAGAGAATTCCATCAACAGCTGTATACATATACTATACATTATCTCAATAGTCATGTGCAGGTGGAATGCTACCAATGTTCAGCAATATTTTTTATATTCTCTCTTTCTGCTGCTAATGCCTAACTGGCACTTTTCTATGTATAATCTTTTTATCAACCCAATGTCAAACTTGTTCATATATTTTTAGCCGTCGATGTAGTTTATAATGTTAAAATACCATTTGCTCTATCTCATTGTAGGATATTTTCAATGCAGTATTAAAGCAGAACCCATATTTAATCTACCATCTCCCATGTGAGTGGAACATTCAGCTTAGTGATCACACCAAAAGTCATGCACTGTGCTACAGTGAAGTGTCTGACCTGAAGGTAAGCACAGAAGTAATCAAAACAAAGAGTTTGATTAGACATGTAAATGATCAGTGATTGAATAGAGCTTAGCAAATTATTTATAGTATAAAATTTATTTATTTATTTGGATATTTTTTAAAATTTATGATATTTAATAGAAATTGGAAAATGCACCATTTTTAATCAAAATTTTAAGTTGCTCTTTATTTGTTGCTCTTTAGACTTTTCTTACAGCTTTTTGTGTCATGGCATTTTGCTGCACTATTTTATGATACATGTCCATTATATTTCTGGACAAATGATATTACATTATTGATATGATATTACATTTTTATCTAAAATAAATGCTGGGTACTTAAAAGTTGAGTGCAGTGCATTTATAGATATTTTGTGGTGTTCTTTCAGATAATTCATTGGAATTCTCCAGTCAAACTACTGGTGAAGAACAAGCATGTTGAGTTCTTCAGGAATCTTCACCTCACTTTTTTGGAATATGACGGCAACTTGCTCAGGAGAGAGCTCTTTGGTTGTGCTACCTCTACACCCAACGAATTGGACAGCAAAGTAAATAGAAAATAAACATCAAAATGACAATGTTCCCTGCTGTCATGTTGAACAACTGTAATATTTTGATTTCACAGTTGATAACATGGTGTTGACATTAATAATCAGTTTGGCAGCAAGCATTTCACATTATTCACAGTGGTCATGATAATGAAGTGTGCAGTTGTCTGCGCCTATGTTTGTGGACTAGATTGATGTTTTATGAATGTTTGATTATTTTATTTAACTATATTACTTTTCATAAAACAGCAATAATAAGAATAATATGGTTTATATCAACTTAAATCACCACTTGATATTCCCCAGCTTGTTGCAATCAACGAAGATGACGAATGCTACGAATTTCGTCGCCAAGGTGCCCTGGTCCTAAGGACCCACTTGTATTACATCGACTACGACTACACCCCGTCCCCTGATGATGTGACCCTGGTGGCCCAGCTAAGTATGGACAGACTGCAGATGTTGGAGGCGATATGTAAACACTGGGAAGGCCCAATAAGCCTGGCTCTGTATATGTCAGATGCTGAGGCACAGGCCTTCCTTAGATATGCTTTAGGATCCGAGACTCTCATGGCCAGGAAGAATATAGGATATCATGTGGTTTATAAGGATGGGGTGAGTGTAATATTAGTTATTAACAAGATGTTATTTGTTTGGATATAACATTGTGATTATGTAAGTATTTCGCAAGTGTTTATAGTCAGGGAAAAGTACCTGGTTTATCATTTTCCATCTGAAAAGACAACAAATCACTAACAATGATTGATATGATTTTTCTTTTCAGCAATTCTTCCCAGTAAACTACCTGCGCAATGTAGCAGTGCGTCAGGTGAACACTCCATACATGTTCCTCTCAGACATCGATTTCCTACCCATGTATGGTCTGTACGACTATTTAAAGAAAGCCACGTCAATGATGGATATCACGGTGGAGAAGAAAGCATTGATAGTGCCAGCCTTTGAGACACAGAGGTATAGACTGACATTCCCAAAGTCAAAAGCAGACCTGTTGTCCATGTTGGATATGGCAACATTGTTTACATTTAGGTAAGTGAAGTAGGCAGTGACATGTAAGAAATTGATAGCACTTTGTTTATTGCCCTTCAGAAACATGGAATTGGTCAAGAGTTTACTGTCAGTGCTGGCAGTGGGATGGGTTTAATTAGCTTCTCAGCAACTTTTTTTCTTAAAAATGAAGTAAAAGTTTATTTTGAAAAAAAATATTATAATTGAATTCACCTCAGCAAGTGCAATATTTAAGTTTTGCAGACCTGATGGTTAAATATACCCTGTAGTTAATCCTGTTTTAGATTCCATGTTTGGCCTCAAGGACATGCACCAACAAATTTTGCTAAATGGAGAAGTGCTACTACACCTTACAAGGTAGGGATGGTTTCATATCTCTTTTTATGACAGCAGATGCTGATGCAAAACTTATGTAAATTTCCAAATAAAGCAGTAAGAAAATTCCATAAAAACAAAGTTTTGCTGCAAAAATTGCACTGTTTCTCAAAAACAATTTTTTTCTTTATAGGTAAGCTGGGAATCCGATTTTGAACCTTATGTGGTTGTGAGTACAAATATCACAGACTATGATCAAAGATTTGTTGGGTTCGGATGGAATAAAGTGTCACATATCATGGAATTGGATGCTCAGGGGTAAGTAAAATAATTTGAAAGATGTTTTGAAAGAGCAGATTGATGTTAATAGTGGAAACAAAATATTATGATATTTACTACTGCCAACAAAAGAGGTTATTTTTTATCATAATTGGTTTGTAAAGATCTCTAAAAATGTATTTACAAATTTTGATGTTATTTTAAGGATACCTATTCAGGTTGGAAAGAACTGATTTTAGTATCAATTAATTCAATTCTTTATATTGATACTTTAAAGCTTATATCAGAATATTAATCATAAAGAATTTATCTTGACAGAGATATCTGCTCATGTAAAAAAATGAATAACGCCCAGATCTGCATTAAACCTTTACCTTATCCAACTTGATTTTTTTTTTTTNGGATACCTATTCAGGTTGGAAAGAACTGATTTTAGTATCAATTAATTCAATTCTTTATATTGATACTTTAAAGCTTATATCAGAATATTTATCATAAAGAATTTATCTTGACAGAGATATCTGCTCATGTAAGAAATGAATAACGCCCAGATCTGCATTAAACCTTTACCTTATCCAACTTGATTTTTTTACAGGTATGAATTTGTTGTACTGCCCAATGCATTTATCATCCACATGCCACATGCTCCAAGTTTTGACATAGCCAAGTTCAGATCAAGCTCTCTATACAGGAAGTAAGTCATAATGTTGAGACTTAAAACTTCACACATAATGGTGCAAATTTCTATCAACACTAAGAGAACTGAAAAATTTGTATACTGATAAAACAGGCCAAAGATAGTCATTGAACACTTACTAGCAGAATTTCATTGTGTCAAAATTATTCAGAGTAAGAATTTATATTAACATTTACCCTTTTTTTATTTCAGGTGCCTAAAGACGTTAAAAGGTGAATTTCAAAGAGACCTGTCAAGAAAGTATGGGATCAAGGCTCTAAAATATTTATCAGTGGAGAGGTAGCATTCAGCTGTAATGGGGCAGATGAAATCACAAAACAAGATGTGCACAGTGGCCATGTCATTTTATGTCTATTTACTCCTATTGCAGAGTTTGTGTCAAACATGTTTATTAAGAAATGTCACCAAGCATTTTAAACCTATTTTTGCCACAATCAGTATCGAATGTCACAAACGTAGATCAGAAGACTAGGAAGTCAAGGAGATTATACGCAATGGAATACAGAAATAAAACTAATTAAATTCTTATGAGAACTTTTTCAAGTTGTATGGTATAAATTTTAAAACTAGTCATAGAATAAAAGATTCAGCTACAGAATGGGACTTGGAGCCAATGGTGTAAGTTATAAATGTGGCCTGTGTTTTACATTTTCTCAAGCATCATGCCAAAGCCTAGCTGGACTCTAGGCATCGAGTAACTGTCTATACTGAAGAAGCATTCTGTAATACAACAAACAAAAATTGTACTTAGAAGCAATAAGTTTTTATTGGAGAATTATAGCGCAAATCGTTTTGGGACCGAGTATATTTTATAATTGGGTCCATGGAGAAAGGACCAATATTTTGTAGTCACACAGTCTTTTTGGGTTAAGATTATTTTAAACCACTCCCATTGTATAGAAATCCTTTGATATTGGACTGATTCTATGGCAGTGTGATAGCCATTATTAATCAGGATACCCTTGTGCTTTAAATCATGTGCCAGATCATTATTTATGATGACAACCTTCGTGCTAAATTAATCTGAATAGACTAGTATATATCACTATAGTATTTTTTCAGATTAGGTACTGTAATGTATGCAATCAAAATCATGTGACATGAAAGATTTATAAATTATACCTTTACTTCTGGTTAAAATGCAAGTTTCAACATATTTCACTTTATATAAATGTATGTAAGGTAGTCTAGTGTATTCTTCTGTTTGCTATGATAATATTCAAGGTCCTTTGTTACCAGTTGGAGACAAAGGGAGGTTGACCTTTTAAGTTTTTTTTTTTTTTTTTTTTGTTCATTGGAGGCATGCTTCTGTGAAGTCTGCATAAGGTCTGTAAATATATCTATAAAAGTGAAATTTTTGTTTGATTGCAAGTCTTGATCACGACATTACCCTTGCAACCAGGTGAACATGCATTTAAATTACTTATATCCAAATGAAAAGATACCAATCTCTTGTAATTTTTATAGCTGAGCAAAAGTGTTGTCATGTCATGGATGATTTAAATTTTTCGTTTTTTAAACCTTTTATATGCTTCAACTGATCCAGGAACCTTGTTCACATGCTATGCTTGTGAACTAATATAAGAGGAAGAGTATAAACAGAAAGCATCTTGTGTAACTATTAAATTTTTTTCTTGGTAGCAGTGGTCTAAAATCGAGAAATTGACCCATTTTGTCAATTTATTAAAAATTGTAGACTTGGAAAAAAGTGGATCCCATTTTCAAAACTTAAACACGTAATAAGACACTCAAATTCTGGTTTATTTTGGAATACATCACTACAAAATGTTAAATGTCTTTGCAATATGATAATTCCCCATCATTCAGATGGTTTCCCTGAATGAAAAGAAAAAAATGTTACTTCTTAATGTGATAAACTTTACATTCTTCTTTTTTACTAGTATCATTCCATCATTTGTAACTTTAAACACCAATCATCAGTTATAAGGTAAGCTTTCTGTTTAAAACTACGAATTCCACCAGCTGTGGAATGTCTTTCCCTTTAACAACGGCTACATTGTTTCGTTTTACTACAAATATCTACGTTGTTGGAGTAATACCTGATAGACAACTTTAACAAATACACCTACTTCATCTGCAGTACTTAATTTATCTGAAAAAAATCTATCCATGGTTACATCTTGTTCTAGTTGGACAAAGACAACATGTGCCATCATTTGCAAGAGTCCAACAAACCAGTCACTTGCATCTGTTACGCGGACTCCTACATCAGCAGTCTGCAACATTAACACTGGTCTACCACGTCAAATGCCATTAAAATTTAAGCAGAGCATATAAAATTGTGTGAATATTATCAGTTACAAGCCACTATTTCTGCTTTTGATCAATTGATTCCTTGACAATGGTATCTCTAAGGGCCTGCAGGCTTTTAAAAAATTGGCCACAGACTGCATCATTTTAAAATATATAAGGATCATCAGAGTTGTAATCTAAATCTGCCATGTTCATCAAGTACTCGTATTCATCCTCGTAATCAAAATCTGATTCATCAGAGTATCTGCTGCTAAAAAACCTTCCACGAGATAAGTCTAGATGTGGTATGTCTATGGTCTCTCTCCCATTCCTGAAAGGACCTGGTGATTTCTTAACTGGTGGCACTGGTTTCCTGGTTTTCAGTTTCATTTCTTTGTGTGCACTGATGGCAGAAGTTATGTATGTCTCTACAAACCGATCATAGCAGTGCAAGTTCGTCCAAGTCTTTGTCCATGGGTCATAGAGCTCAAGACTAGGAAATCCAAGTTTCCTGGGACTACAGCTGCCCACTCTATCGCTGAAGTACTCCACACTTGGGACGCCTCCCACAGCACACAGCAGGTTATTGTATGTGGTCAAAGCTACACCTAGTCTCTCATAGTTCATACTGGGAACTGCCATCCATCTGAGAGGTAAAAAATAGAAGGATAAGAGTATCCTTTTGCTCTGATGATAGTTATGACTTAAATAAGTATATTTCTTCTTATTAATTTTTGGTTTCTTATCATTTCTGTTAGTGTAACTTGCATTGCTTAAGAACAAAAGAGCTCTATATCTTACAGGAAGGCTTCTTTTGGTGTTAAAAAGAAAGCTTTTATTCCTGCCATTGCTAAATACCATGTTAAGTGTCCCACATAAAACGTTCATGTTACCCACCTATCCATCCTAGGTTCATAGCATTCCACGCTATTCAGTATTCTGTGGTCATCGTACCCTCCAGCTGCAAACAAACACTCATCGTACATCAGGAGTCCGTGTCCACGTCGGGGCTTGTCGAGTGAAGAGACGGCTGTCCACTTGCCTTCCCTGGGATCATAAGCCTCAGCCTGGTTCAGGGACATGGCTGTTGCTGTCACAACTGTGGGGGCGGCAAATACAGCCCTCCTGTGAGACATGTTACCTTTTTGAACTGTAAAATAAATCAAAGATCTTAAAAATTCATGTTACATCTGTTCGTGTACAAAAGGTTAACACTGAGCTCAACTTTCCTTCCCTTTTCCACTCCCACTCCCCTAATTTTTTNAAGGATAAGAGTATACTTTTGCTTTGATGATAGTTATGACTTAAATAAGTATATTTCTTCTTATTAATTTTTGGGTTCTTATCATTTCTGTTAGTGTAACTTGCATTGCTTAAGAACAAAAGAGCTCTATTTCTTACAGGAAGGCTTCTTTTGGTGGTAAAAAGAAAGCTTTTATTCCTGCCATTGCTAAATACCATGTTAAGTATCCCACATAAAATGTTCATGTTACCCACCTATCCATCCTAGGTTCATAGCATTCCACGCTATTCAGTATTCTGTGATCATCGTACCCTCCAGCTGCAAACAAACACTCATCGTACATCAGGAGCCCGTGTCCACGTCGGGGCTTGTCAAGGGAAGAGACAGCTGTCCACTTGCCTTCCCTGGGATCATAAGCCTCAGCCTGGTTCAGGGACATCGCTGTTGCTGTCACAACTGTGGGGGCGGCAAATACAGCCCTCCTGTGAGACATGTTACCTTTTTGAACTGTAAAATAAATCAAAGATCTTAAAAATTCATGTTACATCTGTTCGTGTACAAAAGGTTAACACTGAGCTCAACTTTCCTTCCCTTTTCCACTCCCACTCCCCTAATTTGTGTAAATCTTTGTATAAAGCATTTTTTCTTCATTAACACTACACCAATTACTCACCCGTGGTGTCAGGATTTTCCTCCACAAGAAGCTGACTTCCACCAACAACATAAAGCCTGCCATTCAATGCAGCAGCTCTGGCACAGCTCCTGGGAGTCATCAAGGCTGGGACATCAGAGAGAACCTGACCCAAGTTCATATCCACAGCTTCCACCAATTCTGGCATGTATAACACCCGTTTGGTATGGTAACCATAGGAGCGGCAAGTACTTACTGGTAAAGCACCCCCAACAATATACAATCTGTCATTCAAAACAGCAGCCCCAGCATCCACTTTAGGCTGCTCCAGTGTTATGTTGTCCGAACCACCTGCATGGAGTATTCTGAGGCTCCGACCGGAATTAGGATCCTTACAAAATGCCCCTTTCCAATTGTTCTTGTATGTATCAGTGTCTCTGGTCCCCCCAGCAAAGTATATGTTGTCATTGTGGAGGGTAAATGTGGACAGAAGCCTGCTGGAATTCAAGGGTTTGTGTTGTACATCCGGAAACAAACTACTGAAAGTGGGACTGTTTCTGAAAGTGGCACTTCCAATCCGCAAGTTGGGTTGGATGTCGTATATCTTTCTATTGGAAAACCACTCCCCTTGGATTACAGCGTTTATCACTTCATTGCTTTGTGAAGTGTCCCTAGTGCTTAGTCCTTGTGCATGCATATCCCTAAGAGAAGTATCCAGTGACTGGTACACTTCAGTAGCTGCCAACAAAGGGTGATCATCATAAAAAGCCTCCAGACTCTTAGGTGTCATTGCTTTGATACCTGCAAGTGTAAGAAATTCCTGAGTATACTGTATATGGTCTGTCATATCTGATTCTATCCACTGCACCACTGCATGGAGGATCTCTGGTTTCACTTGGCAACTCTGGTGAGAATAAGTCTCCAAAAGGTGGCGCATCCTGTCCACCGAGGCATGGACGAGAAACTCTTCCTCCTGCAACACCTCCTGGCACCTGGACTGCAGGATTTCCTCAGCAGCTTTGTACAGACTTGTACAGTCATGGAGTTTGGCAAATTCCAGCACACCAAGGCAATTGTGGGGACCCAGCTCATTCTGCATGAACAGGGCACAGGCCTCCTTCAGAGAGTGGAGCTGCAGGAAGGAAGCAGCAGCTAGGAGACTTTCAACATTGCCTGCACCTATCTTGAGTTTTCTGGTGTATGCATATTCAACTAGAATTTTCACTGCCTGGGCATCAAGTCCATGCAGGTCTATCTCTGCTTCATTTTTGTTATACAACTCTGAAGTAAATAAGGCTTCAAAATATGGAGACATGGCAGCTAAGACTATGGTGTGGGCTGAAATACGCAAACCTTCGACAACAAGGGTGACATCACAAAGAATGTTCTTCTTCCAATTCTCATACAATTTTGTAGACACTTGCTTAACATCTTCACTAAAATGAAACATAGACGAGCTAGAATCATTTCCCCCTGTATTGGAGTCCACAGAAGTTTCTGCTGTGCCATCTTCTTCTTCTTTTTCTTCTTCATCTGTAGCTTGCGCCATACTGGTCCAACAGTCTGCATCTGGGGGAAACTGAAATTTAGAATTTATATCCATAATGTCTCTTTACAGAGTCTTAGTAAAGATATGCAGATGACTACCTTTTAAAAAAAATCCCTGTGGGTTAATGCTCCTTTGCCAAATTAAGAGTACTTAAAAACTAACCATTTTGCAGTAATAAAGATACAACAGTCCCCATGCAAATCAAATACATGTTATAGCTGATGCTACATATCACTAAAAAAAACCAATAGCTTCTCGGTACATGTATACAATTTGCAATGTTAAGTTGTTATTAGTTAATAAACAGACAACTGTGCAATATACCTCTGGTAAGACTGCATTCTTCACAGCTATGACTGCTTGGAGGAGGTGACGGTGAGCATCTTCCCCTATGTAACTTGTGGTAATGATCACATGAGGATCTTCATCATCTCCTTCTTCAGTCACTTCAGCACTATCAAGCTGTCTACCAAAAAGCTAAAGTGGGCAAAATGGTGCATTGTGCTACTTTCTCCATTTGTAATAAATCAAGATAGGAGGGAATGTAACTGTGTCTTTTTTCTTAAATGTGAGGAAGAAAGTTTTACCTAGGGGAAGATAAACAACTAAATGGTGCAGATATTAATGGTTTAATTTTCTACTTTACAAATTTTTTACTGCCAAAACCACAAAATGCCAAATGGATAAAAAACTACTAATGACTGACCTTAGCAAGCAAAAATGTATTAATCATCAAAAACCTTCACCAATAATATCATTAATAAATACCAAAAATAAATAAGGACAGCCTCACTCACACTTAAAAAAGAAGGTTTCTGTGGTTGACTACTACCAAATGGTTTCCTTACTCCATGCCCCTTAAGAGTGATACTACAGAGGGTTTCACGCTGAATTCTGTTGATTGTTGTACCTTTTCTGCCTATTAAGCGTCCAATCAAGTTTTTCTGTAAAAAAAATTACAACAATTTCTCATAATCATTAACTCAAGAGAGCAAAATAATTATTTTGCTGGGCAATAACTGAAGGTTTCAGTTTTCAATTATAATAAAACTGTTCTATAAATCAATAAAAANACACATCTGTGTCTGTACATAAAAAGTATTAATAAACATCCTTTCAATACTTGTGGAAAGCAGATATAAACAACAACAACAACAACAACAATAATAATACAAGTTGAGATTGTATGTGACCTAATTCCAAGAGATGGGGACACAGGCTTTTGTACTTGTAGTCTAGGAGAAGATGGGGTAATGGTGACTTGTATCTGCGGAGCCAATAGGGACTGTACATGTACAAGATTGGTCGGGACTAAAACAATGAGTACCACCAGCACTTACACTCCACTCCGATTATTGTTGTTATTATTATAATTATTGTTATGCAGTAATGCTGTAATGCAGTTAAAGTCATTATTATTACTATTACAACTGACACATAACTAGTATTTTGTAATGTGGGTGAAAGCCCTGAAATACTGAAACAAAATATATACGATTATTTTCTTTCAATATCAAACTAAATTGTGATAAAAGGGCACTAAGATGTTCAAAAATTATAAAACTCATAAAATGCGTGACCAAAGATTTAAAGAAACATTCCATTTCAAGACTTAATCAAGGAAAATATGTCAGTAGTTACATTTGGATATTGCTTCACAGGCAGATACAGTGTGGCTGATAGCCGAGCAACACCACCACTTTTCCACTGAGGTGACTGCTTCTTCACTTGAACACCAGGTATGTGTAGATTAACTGATGACTGCACACTTGGGTTAAGTCTAGTGAGTTCTGAAAAGAAAAGGAGAAATACATTAACACACACACACACACACACACACACACACACACACACACACACACACATGCAAACCACCAACTAAAGTAATAAACTTTACCTTATTTTGCGTGAATAGTGTATGACTAAAAAGGTATTTTGTCTTCAAAGAATAAATGAAGTAATTCAAGCAAAATTAAAAAAACTGAAATAGGCGAAGCCATTTTCAACAAACACCAACATATAACTTCATAGTGGACCTCAGGCTCAAACCGACTACTAGTAAATATGCACAGATAAGTTATATATTATATATTAGATATTCATTTCAATTTAGCTTACAATTTTAAAAAAATACCATCTACTCATTTAATTTAATCAACCAATGGCTCTTCCTGTAAATACAAAAGTACCGAAGTTTCAACTTAGGTTTTAGTTAGAGTTGCTGTATCAGAGATGCTTACCTGCATCAATCAAGGAAAATGAATGCTTAAATGCCTCCCGCGGAATATCCAAATCCTCTACCAAGTTCTCAAGGACTGTTATTTCGGAGACAAGTTCATCTAACTTTTTCGCATCTCGAGATGCTTGTGAAGAACCTTCTGCCATGTTTTTCGACTACAGCTCAAAGCGAAACAAATACCTCGCACACCAGACAAAGTGTAAATTGGGTGAGCTGGTGAATTATTCCTATTCGTCTAGGGGCTATAGGTGAGCCATTTTCATCTGCTTCATATGCCACAGTTCAGTAATATGAATGCAATTAAGTTATACCTTAAATGCTGAAGCCACTATGCCACCAACGCTGTCTGTGGATCTCAAAAGATGTCGCTCTATGAAGATGCGTCTAAACGATAATTCTATTAATAAACAACAAAACACTGTCAGATACACAACATAATCGAACGATGAATCTGTGTCTATAAATGCTATAGAGCTACGATAAAATCGATTCATTGCGTGTCTTCTAAAATAATTATAAAACAGTATATGCGCTAAAACTTGAATGATGTTCTGTAGCTTGTCTTGCATTGAACCCGCCCTGCATGAAAAATTGTGGCGAATGTTGTCTGTCTGTTCATCTGCAGTGAGACGCTTGGAGATATTTGGCAAAACTCTTTTATGTATCGTAGCTGTTGCAAACGGAAAGTGTTAAGTAAAATACAGTTATCATTTATTTAAAGGAACGTAACAGAATACTTCATTAATATTTTTATTACGACCTGTAAATAAAGTGTCCTCGTTTTCAACTCTTTGTGTTCATTTTTTAAGTCGGTAACATGACATTTTCAATTATGTTTGATGTTTCAGTTTTAGTAATAACCACAGGTTCCAAGTGCTGCGTGTCGATAGTCTTAAGTTTCGGTGCTATTGTGCCGAGATTTGCTAAATTCCAGTGGCAATTGTACCTGTACCTGAATCCGGTGCGGTGCCATCGTGTCAGCATATGTTCCGTTTTAGTGCTTTGCTTTTGTGATAAACATGATATATTGCACCATGATATATTGCATCTCAGGCATACTGAAATTTGGTAGTAATAATAATAAAACAAAAAATTTAATTTTTCTTATTTGAAACATACTGTATTTATCCTTTAAAAAATATTACTAATACTAATTGATAATAGTATTACTGAGAAATTTGAAGGATGTTAGTGTATGTAACCTTTCTCTGGGTGAATTATATTAATCTGTTCAGAATAAACGGAAATAATGTGAACTTCTGTCTTTGAAAATTTATTTTGTATTTAGCCTGTGTTTCAGAAATAAAATGAACATCTCAGGTTTTGCTCCATAGTAATACCTTTATAGCTTCATAATATTTAGAGATCCGAGTAAGTGTGGAAAATGGGATTACCCCACAAGAGAAAACCAACATCTTAATTAAGTCAGTTCCAACTATTAAGTTTTCACATAGTACAGTTACTGTATGATAGTTATATATGTATTTTATTTTAGCATCATCTGCCAATGCTGACCAGTTGTAAGGGGCCAAATTTGCCATGTTCCCTTATCCCTCCCAGCAGCATGCGTCTGGATACTACCACCCAACTTCTTCAGATGCTACCTCAAATTCCAATCAGTACTTCCTGCCACCATGTTCATCACCACAGTCCCGGAGTTTACAACAATATCTCCCAGCACTGCCCCAAGCACCAGTAGGACAGTATCATCAGGGTTCTTGGGCACATACTGGAGCAGCTGTGCAGGCATCTGTTGTAGCTCCTATAGTTCCATCGCCAGCCATGAATTATGCAATTCCTGCAGAGGCTGCAACACAGGGTGCTACCCTGTTTTATGGACAGTATCCTGTAGTCCCTTGCAGCCAAACTCTGGACAGCTCTGGATATCTGCCATCCAATAGCAATTCTGGTGCAACATTAGGAACGTGGTCAGTGTCAGGATGCCCTGTTGAACCATACTTGTTACACCTAACGTCTCCACCACCAAAGCAAGCTGTCAAGACAGAGCAATTGGGTAGAGAAAGACTGTATACTAGGCAAGGTAATGTTACTCCCACACTGATACAAAAGCAGGAACAGATGCCAAGACCTACTGGTGCTCAAGTCTGTAAGACAGCTTTGGAACCAATACCAGAGTATGCAGAAACAAAACCTGATTTGTCTGAGAAGTTGTTCTGGTAAGTCAAGCGAGAGAATTTGAAATGGATTTGAAAGCATTTTGCTTCATCTTCTAATTAATATTCAGATTTTTATGTTAATGTTAATCAGCCTCTCAGAACCAGGTGGGACCTTGAATACAAAAGTAGATGCATTGCAGTAGCTAATATAAAATTATTAATTTGTTTAGTAGAGGCATTGCAGAAGTTGATATAAAATTATTAATTTGATTTTCATTTTAAGGAAATTCTTGGAAGTTTTAAAAACCTATGGGCCTCAAGAGGTGAACAGTGAAAAACTTCTAAATGTCTTCATGAATCTTAGCCCACATGAGCGCAGATTTATCATGTCTCATGGAACTTTGAAAGAATTTTTGTCCACATTCCCATCCCTGTATTTGGAGAATGGCTTTCTGTATTTACGCCAGCGTGGAGCACCAGCTGAGGATAAAACAATTTCAGGGAGTGAAAAGTATGTACAAAATGAATAGAACTGCTGGAAAATGGTAGAAGTTATGTTTTTGTGTGTTGGTATATTAGTTAAGAGCCTATCAGTACCCGAAAAAGTTCTGAATGGATTTTGATGTAATTTTTGCGATAGGTCAGAAATGTGCTAACCTACAATTAATTAACATTTGGTGTTGACCTATTTTTAGTTGATTAATTAATTAATAATAAGAATTTTACTCCATTGGCAGAGGTCTGTCCTCTCTGAATGCTTTTCTGTACATAGTTAATGGTTAGTTTAATCAGTAATGAGACTTTATGGAATATTCTCAAATTTTGAGTGATGTGCAAATACAGTTTTTGATAACAAGCCTTAGCTATTAAAAATTGGTTATTTTACATTTTTAATGCTTTTGCAGGATCACCAAGGAGGAAACGGTTGGAAATATAAATGAGAATTGCAAAAACGATTTAATAGAGATACCAATGCATGACAGAGATTCACTGGATGAAATAGGTCAAGTACCTGATAGCTAAATTCAGACCGTAAATTGTGTTAAAATAACTAAGTGTCCTTGTACCAGTTCCTGTTTTGTAATAAAACGGTCATTTTGTAAATTCTTCCAACAACTAATTTGGAAGAAATGGAAAGCTTATGAAAACACTAAGCCAATGACCAGGGCTATGTATCATTAAATGTTTGTTATAATTAATTGTTACACATAGATTCTGATGTGACAGTTTGCTTAAATTTCAGATGACCGTGACTGTATTATCCCCGAGTCTCTGCAGCAGAAGTCTGTCTTTGAGGATATTGCAAGGACACATGGGATCTCAATAGGGACAGCACAGGAATGCACTTCAAAAACCTTCCCCACAACCGAGGAATCAGTCAAAGATCAGACTTGTGACTCCTCACAAGCTGTGTTGGATCACATTGACAAAGAGTGTGTTAGAAAGACCACTGAAATACCATGCAGTGAGTTGGTTCAGCAGACAAAATATGCATACAGTGAAGATGTCTGGAAACCCAAGGGCATCGTGAACCCTAAAATCAGTAAGGGGTGCACAAAAAGCAAGATGTTGAGAATTGAATGTCTAAATCATGCTTTGACTGGAAATTCTGACCATAGTGAGGCATATCACAATGATCATATAATTCCATACACAGCAAAGGATACACTATCCACAAAAAATGATGCTCCAGCTGATATCAAACTGACAGAAGTGATGAATAAAACTCAAGAGCTGGAAAATGTGTCCACCACCAATCAAATATGTTCTGGAATGCCAGTGCAGCATTTTGATGGAAAACAAGATTTACCTGACTTTGCTGATTTGGAATTTGTGATTGAAGCATATGAAATGGGCATGAAGTATTGTCAGAAGAACACAAAAGATGCCCTGCTTATTGCAGCAAAACAGTTGGTTTTAGAGACGTTGGTTAGTACCAAAGAGAATATGAAATTTACAGATAGAAAGTTACTTGATGATAAGACTCCAACAAAGGATGAAGTGCATCCAATGAAAACTACTGGGTCTCAAAGTGTCTTTTCCCATGACAGTGGATTTAAAGACCAAAATGCAACTTTTTCTAGTCCAGATATTGATTCTGATACAAGTGACATGGCTGTGTCTCAAGAACCTCAACTCAAACTGCCAGCACCATCTGCAGAAACATACCTCTCTCCATCCAGATTGAAAGCAACAGCTCCAGAGTTCAAATTAAAGCCAAGTCCTTTATCCCCAGGTGGTGGCACAGCCTCTTTAGTTGCAGGTGATCCAAAGATCATATCATCAAAATCGGAGACCTCCTCTCCATCCAGATTGAGGCCAGCGGCTCAGGAATTCAAATTCAAACCACTTGTATCTTCATCGGTGCCATCAATAGGGGGCTCCCCATCAAGGCTGAAGGCTACAGTCTCAGAGTTTGTTCCCAGGTTCAAGCAGCCAGCCCTTTCCAAGATACCTGATATATTATCAGTGCAGCACCAAGAGCAACAAACTGACCACCCTTCTTGTTACCAGAAAGAAACTGGCACCAGCCCCAGGAGACTGAAAACTAAAGAGTTTAGTGCCCAGTCTGCAGTGGACGTTGCAGAGGTGATGATAAATACAGAAGAGTGTCTGTTTTCAGAAGAGTCCACATACTATGTGGAGCCATGTCAAACTGCACGTAAATCCACAAACACCGAAATATCAGGACGCATCAGAGCTGAACCTAGGATGCTGTCCAGGTATACCAGCACAGAATCTGGGTCAGTGGTGGATAGAAAGATTTTTGATAATGCTGTGACACAACTTATTGCTGCAGAGGTAAGAATGATGTTGTTTTCAATGTTTGCGCCAAAATATGATTCCCCAAAATGAATTTATGAAAGTTTATCTGTTTTTGAATCTGACCATTATCCTTTCTGTACTGTTTATAATGTAATATTCATACATAATTTATCATATACATTTAAAAGTTGTTTTGATGCTGAAAGAGGAATAAAATAAATATATAATTGCCTGATTTATCAAAAGATTACCAGGTTCTTTTATGATTGATAAATTGAAATGTTTTCATCATGTACATACATATAAGTATTATTTCAGATCAAGGTACTTCAGCTACAATTTTACTTGTGCTCTGAAAGACTGCTCAACTGGTTTGAAGATTGGAAGAAACTGCAGAACCTTGACAGGTAAATCTATTTTTCTATTTTATAGCTGTGGAACTAAGGGGAATATTGTTTGAAAGAATGAGTTTAATTTTGCAGAATGTTTTTGCAAAAATTTTTGTTTTATGATAATGAAAGAATCCCAATATAAGCAGGTTCTAGAATAAGCATTATGATATTTTATTTTTGTATTCTGTATCAATTACATTTTAGTTTTAATAAATTTGAGATTTTTTAAAAGCTTTTCTAGATATGATCAACACGTGATGGACACTCTTAATACTGGGAAACAAAATGTAGGGGAAGAACTAAAAAGAATGCAGGTAAATTTGGTTTTAAAATATAGTGAACATGCATAGTATACTATTTTAAATTATACTGCTTTTATACATTACTTAAAATTATCAGTTAATCAGTGCACCCAGTACCTGATATTTGTTTCTTGGAAAAATCTGGTATTTGCTACATATACAATCTAAAAGTTGTATGTTTAAATAAGTCAATTTGTGTAATATTGTCATTGACTTGTTACAATTTCCAAGATTTTATCAGTTTTTTTTTTTTATTTCAAGGCGCTTTATGAGACCAATGTACGTGAACTGTGTAAGGGTGTTCCACTGGAATCATTGACTGCATTGAAGGTCAATTTACCTACTACACAAGGACCAAACAAGTTTTCACCTCGTGAAGTACGTTTCTTTTCTGATATTAAATGTGATGACAGAAATGTCTGAATTGTTCATCTGATATTGATATTTTTTTTTTTTTAGTAATATACCTCAGCCTGATATAATAAGATCGTGGTTGCAGTCACTGAAAAATCATTTGGTTGTTGTCAAGTTATGTTATGTTATCAGTTTTCTTCTGATTATATATAACATACTTTTATCAGCTTTATCTGAAATTTCTACTCATGTTTACGAGATTGCTTTCTGAATAGGATATTTTAAAGATCTCACACTAATAAAATGTTGAATTTTAGAGCTAAATTTTACTTCCACTATAACTACTTTTTACATGTTCAGGTTGATTACAACAAGATTGTGAAGGCTTTCCTTGAGCATTACTGTCCAAATGATTGTGTGGACCCTGAGGTGATTGTGCTGAATGAAAGGTCATGGGACCGCTTCATGACAAAAGAATACAAGAAGGAAGCGCAGAAGGGGCATGCTGCTGCAATGCCAGAAGTGCCACTCCCAGTCAACCCTGATTTGACACCAGATCCACTGACATTTGCTGGAAATGTGCAGAATGAAGTGCCAACTGTTGGGGTAACATCCTCTGTCAATCAGCTACAACTGCCAAAATCCCAGATAGCAGGTGGTGCCTCATCAGCAGTTGGCCAGCAAAGTGACAAAGTGGTCTCCAGTTCTCTTCAGGCAGAGACAGTGCTACCTTGTGGTGATAATCCCAAGGGATTTGATGTCATTGCCAAGATTCAACTTTCAAATGATGGTAGTTATTACATTTTAAACAAGCTAAATATTACTACTATGGTTATATGTATTACTGTCTACTTCCACAGTGTGTGTGTGTGTGTGTGTGTGTGTGTGTGTGTGTGTGTGTGTTATCAAGATTCACAACCATAATGCATTTTGAAAATAGATTGTGTTTAAATTTCTTCTTCCATTTAACACTCTAAGTAGACATCAGTAGTATTTAGAAGATAAAGTACAGCCAGTATAAGACAAGTTTTAAAGTATACAGTTTTGTAAATTGTCTGCATTATTTGCCTTTTGTAGACGAAGAGAAGAGAACCTTATTACGTATTCCAACAAAATGTCCACCAGGATTGTCCAATATACAGGCAAGTTTGTTCTGTTTGGTTACTTCATAAAGTTGACAGGTGGATAAGTTCATTATTTGATCCAAACATGTTTCAATTACTTTTTGTATCACTGAAATAAATTAGTTTATTCTTTATTTTTTCTACACAGTCAAGGTGGAAGCTATCTTTTTGTATCATGAAATACTTTTTCATTTTAGTAATATGCAAAGGTATATTTTTAGGAGCCTATTATCAAGAAAGCATTCAAGCCTTTAGGAAGAAGAGCTCTTAAACCAAGAAAAAACAAAGTTGCAGAGCCAAAAGTGTTGGTTTCATCTGCTTTTGAAACCAGTGCTAGCGGTCACAACCAATCAAATAAATTGGGTAACTCTATTATTCTCAGTGAAACTTATTCAAAATTACCAGATATGGATGATGGAATCAGTGAGTCGAGTACCCTAACATCAGAGGAAGTAGCCATGCCTTTTAAAGCAGATCTGCTGCAAGATGCAAAGGCTTCTGAAATGCAAATGACAACATCAACTATTAATGTAAGCAGCAGTCAGTGTGATGAAATGGCACCACAAAAGACAACATTAGGTCTTCCTGCTGTGACAACAGACTTATCACAGCAACAACAGGTGCCCCAAGTCAATCCTGTCGCTTACCAATATGTTGTTTCTCAGCTTCTCCAGATGAATCCCCAGCTAATAGAAAACCCTGCAGCTCTGCAGTACATAGCTGTGCAGCAGCTTATTACCATGCAGCAACTGCAAACTGGAATGCTGGCTACCACAACCTATGGTGGGCAGAGCGATCCATCAACATTGGCTACAGCAGGCTTGGGTACACACAGTCATCTTACAGCATTGGCTACAGCAGCCTATGGCACACAAAGTGATCTGGCATCTTTGGCTGCAGCAGTTTATGGCACACAGAGTGATACAGCAACATTGGCTAAAGCAGCTGGCTTTGGCGTTCAAAATGACCCATCCACAGTGGCTTTTAGCGCACAGAATGGTACAATGAACTTTGACACCTTCAGTGGCCTCAGTACCTTGGCTAAAGTTTCCCCTGGGACACAGAATGATAGAAAATCCATGTCTCATGTCAAATCAGTAACGCTTGATCAGAGCAATTTTGTTATTCCACAGGCAGGACAAGGGGATGAAAGTGCTGGTCCAGGAAAGGCTATTGCCAGTGTTTCACCAGACCAACAGAAAAGATGTTTTCCATTAACTGGAGAAAGCCAGGATAAGCTTGCCACCAAAGAAGCCCAAGGAGACATGCCACCATATCATAGGGGAGCAGTACAACACAGCACCTTGGAGGTAGAAAAGGCCAGTTCTTCTGAGAGATGTCATGTAGATTGCTCAAAACCATTCCCTGATGCCAAGTCCTTTTTGATGAATGATGCTTCTGATAGTGGCAGCAATGAAAGCAAGTCAATTCTGAGCCTTGCTCGAGGAAATTATACCAGCAGACAGAGTGCCCCTCTAAGATATGCTGCTGAGAATTTGGCAACCACTGTTATGAATCAAACTTATGTTCATGATAAAGCCTCTGGTTTTACTAAAGAGTACCAAGGACAGTTGGACAGAGACAGACAGAGTAGCATCAGCTCCTCAGAGGGTGCATCTTTTTCAAGAAGTTCTCTGAGCTTTCAAACTGCCAAGTCTCCGTTTTCAGAGCAGAGTTGTTATGAAAGTGTTCCAACCAGTCCAAGAGCTGCAACATCTGCAGAATCTAACTCCTCAGAGTACAGCACCAGTACAAGTAGTCTGCCCCAAACACCAAGAGACCCTCAGAATGTAAAGGGCAGCTTGTCACAGGAGTCTCTGGTTGCTGGTTTTGGCCTGCTGGAGCAAGGGGCTGGGGAATGGAAGACAGTTGGTAGTAAAGGAAGGGAGCAGAAAGTGGAGTTGTCTGGTGGACAGAACAGGTTAGTTACTTGCTACTGTGAATGAAGTGTGAGTTTGTTGAATTTTTCGTGGACCAGTTGGGTATTAAAAATGAGGGAGGGGCAGTTATGTTCTTGTTGAGTTAAGAACCCCATTAATTGCTTGATCTTGTCTTGAGTCTTTTCTCAAGTTGTGAATATTGATTAACTCTGGTCTGTGAAAACTATGTGTGTGGCAGTGTGTTATTCATGTTTCCAGAGAAGTGTTTATTTATATATTTATTTATTTTTTTTTATTATTCATACAGACCGTCAGTATGGCAAACCACCTCCAGCACCAGTGTGCGCACCACAGCAATTCCCCCTGGCTGGAACACAACAGTATCTAAGTCCCAGTCAGGCCTTGCCATTTCAGACATACCACCTAGGTTTAGAGCTAAGAGGGCATCGGAGAGTGAGGCCAGTGTTGAGCGTGTTAGTCCAGTGGGTGCTGGTGGACCAGCAGGAGGAAATACAGGCCAAGGCAAAAGTCAGCAGCGTGGAAAGCAGCCCAGTATACAATCCACTGGTAGATCGACCCCAGTAATGTCCATATCTGGGCAACCTTTGCCCATTGTGCAGAGCTCCATTTCTAATGTGACAGTCAATACAGTAGGGGCATCTGGTTCAATATCCAATATGAAGGCGGACAAGGTAGAAACTGCCAAAATTCAACCATATGTTGTTCCAGGTAAGCTTCATCTTGCTACTCCTAATAGCTTATGAAAAAGAAGATTAGGTATTATTTTGTGTTCTGAAACAAAATATTCTACAACTATTACACAAACTTTTTTTTTCCAAAATAGTTGTTACTTATTTGATGACTTCAATATAGTGTTAGGCATCCTATCCACCAATACTGATTTGACACTGTTTTTATTTGGTTTTCTCCCAGGCACCCCTTCCTCAAGGCCTAGTTCTCATAACTCTGAGATGGACAGTATCCAGCTGGCAGACAGTCATATTGGGAACGAACAGGTTGAGGACAGTGATGAATGGCAACAGGTAAGATGGTGCAATGATCAGGTCCAGGAACAGGTAAAATTGGGAAAAAAAAATGTGGTAGAATGGGTTCACAAAATAAATGATATGTTTACCTACATGTAGGTTGGGATTAATTTGGAAGAACTCGGGGGTCAATTCATCTTTTTGTGCAATAAGCTTTTTTTTTCTGTTTGGTCAAAATTTATTTGGATGTTATTACACAAAGTAGAAGTAATACAATTTTTTTCTTGCAAACTCCTGCAAACTTTTTATTTTGCAGCAAATTTTTTGCAAACTTTTCATTTTGCTAAGGGCTATGAATTGTAGCAAATGTGAAGAGTTTTAATCGTCAAAATTTATGAGCTGTAATGCTTGTTTTCCAGGTGAGTAAAAAGAAAAAGAAGCCTGATGTTCTACAGGAGCACCTATCCAGCAAACCACTTCAAACAACTGGGAGCACAAAAGCCAGCAACTTTGAACGCCTTATAGGCAGACTGCTGGAGAAATTTCCAAAACTTACAAGGTACTATTTCTTAGTCATCTTATCAGAAACTAATTACTTTAAGTAATGTTGTGTTCCCTAATGTTTTTCTGTCTTTGATTGAGCATCTATCAGCATTGGACCAGTATGTAACTTGACACTGATGGTGTATACAGATAGTTTTGTACTGTTCTTCTTTTAGTGCTAGTAAATTCATCAATGAATAACTTTTGTGTGTTCATGTGTGTGTGCACGTGTTTATGTATGTGTGTGTGTGTCTCTTGGGTGTCATTAAATGCACTATAAAGTCCTGTCATTTTTTTANGTTTTTTTTTTTTTTTTAGTAATATACCTCAGCCTGATATAATAAGATCGTGGTTGCAGTCACTGAAAAATCATTTGGTTGTTGTCAAGTTATGTTATGTTATCAGTTTTCTTCTGATTATATATAACATACTTTTATCAGCTTTATCTGAAATTTCTACTCATGTTTACGAGATTGCTTTCTGAATATGATATTTTAAAGATCTCACACTAATAAAATGTTGAATTTTAGAGCTAAATTTTACTTCCACTATAACTACTTTTTACATGTTCAGGTTGATTACAACAAGATTGTGAAGGCTTTCCTTGAGCATTACTGTCCAAATGATTGTGTGGACCCTGAGGTGATTGTGCTGAATGAAAGGTCATGGGACCGCTTCATGACAAAAGAATACAAGAAGGAAGCGCAGAAGGGGCATGCTGCTGCAATGCCAGAAGTGCCACTCCCAGTCAACCCTGATTTGACACCAGATCCACTGACATTTGCTGGAAATGTGCAGAATGAAGTGCCAACTGTTGGGGTAACATCCTCTGTCAATCAGCTACAACTGCCAAAATCCCAGATAGCAGGTGGTGCCTCATCAGCAGTTGGCCAGCAAAGTGACAAAGTGGTCTCCAGTTCTCTTCAGGCAGAGACAGTTCTACCTTGTGGTGTCATGCAATCCACTGGTGATAATCCCAAGGGACTTGATGTCATTGCCAAGATTCAACTTTCAAATGATGGTATAGGTTATTACATTTTAAACAAGCTAAACATTACTACTATGGTTATATGTATTACTGTCTACTTCCGCAGTGTGTGTGTGTGTGTGTGTTTCTGTGTGTGTGTGTGTGTTATCAAGATTCACAACCATAATGCATTTTGAAAATAGATTGTGTTTAAATTTCTTCTTCCATTTAACACTCTAAGTAGACATCAGTAGTATTTAGAAGATAAAGTACAGCCAGTATAAGACAAGTTTTAAAGTATACAGTTTTGCAAATTGTCTGCATTATTTGCCTTTTGTAGACGAAGAGAAGAGAACCTTATTACGTATTCCAACAAAATGTCCACCAGGATTGTCCAATATACAGGCAAGTTTGTTCTCTTTGGTTACTTCATAAAGTTGACAGGTGGATAAGTTCATTATTTGATCCAAACATGTTTCAATTACTTTTTGTATCACTGAAATAAATTAGTTTATTCTTTATTTTTTCTACACAGTCAAGGTGGAAGCTATCTTTTTGTATCATGAAATACTTTTTCATTTTAGTAATATGCAAAGGTATATTTTTAGGAGCCTATTATCAAGAAAGCATTCAAGCCTTTAGGAAGAAGAGCTCTTAAACCAAGAAAAAACAAAGTTGCAGAGCCAAAAGTGTTGGTTTCATCTGCTTTTGAAACCAGTGCTAGCAGTCACAACCAATCAAATAAATTGGGTAACTCTATTATTCTCAGTGAAACTAATTCAAAATTACCAGATATGGATGATGGAATCAGTGAGTCAAGTACACTAACATCAGAGGAAGTAGCCATGCCTTTTAAAGCAGATCTGCTGCAAGATGCAAAGGCTTCTGAAATGCAAATGACAACATCAACTATTAATGTAAGCAGCAGTCAGTGTGATGAAATGGCACCACAAAAGACAACATTAGGTCTTCCTGCTGTGACAACAGACTTATCACAGCAACAACAGGTGCCCCAAGTCAATCCTGTCGCTTACCAATATGTTGTTTCTCAGCTTCTCCAGATGAATCCCCAGCTAATAGAAAACCCTGCAGCTCTGCAGTACATAGCTGTGCAGCAGCTTATTACCATGCAGCAACTGCAAACTGGAATGCTGGCTACCACAACCTATGGTGGGCAGTGCGATCCATCAACATTGGCTACAGCAGGCTTGGGTACACACAGTCATCTTACAGCATTGGCTACAGCAGCCTATGGCACACAAAGTGATCTGGCATCTTTGGCTGCAGCAGTTTATGGCACACAGAGTGATACAGCAACATTGGCTAAAGCAGCTGGCTTTGGCGTTCAAAATGACCCATCCACAGTGGCTTTTAGCGCACAGAATGGTACAATGAACTTTGACACCTTCAGTGGCCTCAGTACCTTGGCTAAAGTTCCCCCTGGGACACAGAATGATAGAAAATCCATGTCTCATGTCAAATCAGTAACGCTTGATCAGAGCAATTTTGTTATTCCACAGGCAGGACAAGGGGATGAAAGTGCTGGTCCAGGAAAGGCTATTGCCAGTGTTTCACCAGACCAACAGAAAAGATGTTTTCCATTAACTGGAGAAAGCCAGGATAAGCTTGCCACCAAAGAAGCCCAAGGAGACATGCCACCATATCATAGGGGAGCAGTACAACACAGCACCTTGGAGGTAGAAAAGACCAGTTCTTCTGAGAGATGTCATGTAGATTGCTCAAAACCATTCCCTGATGTCAAGTCCTTTTTGATGAATGATGCTTCTGATAGTGGCAGCAATGAAAGCAAGTCAATTCTGAGCCTTGCTCGAGGAAATTATACCAGCAGACAGAGTGCCCCTCTAAGATATGCTGCTGAGAATTTGGCAACCACTGTTATGAATCAAACTTATGTTCATGATAAAGCCTCTGGTTTTACTAAAGAGTACCAAGGACAGTTGGACAGAGACGGACAGAGTAGCATCAGCTCCTCAGAGGGTGCATCTTTTTCAAGAAGTTCTCTGAGCTTTCAAACTGCCAAGTCTCCGTTTTCAGAGCAGAGTTGTTATGAAAGTGTTCCAACCAGTCCAAGAGCTGCAACATCTGCAGAATCTAACTCCTCAGAGTACAGCACCAGTACAAGTAGTCTGCCCCGAACACCAAGAGACCCTCAGAATGTAAAGGGCAGCTTGTCACAGGAGTCTCTGGTTGCTGGTTTTGGCCTGCTGGAGCAAGGGGCTGGGGAATGGAAGACAGTTGGTAGTAAAGGAAGGGAGCAGAAAGTGGACTTGTCTGGTGGACAGAACAGGTTAGTTACTTGCTACTGTGAATGTAGTGTGAGTTTGTTGAATTTTTCGTGGACCAGTTGGGTATTAAAAATGAGGGAGGGGCAGTTATGTTCTTGTAGAGTTGAGAACCCCATTAATTGTTTGATCTTGTCTTGAGTCTTTTCTCAAGTTGTGAATATTGATTAAAGTCATAATAACTCTTCGTTTTGGCCAAAAATTGGATTTTCCTGGAAAAAACGGCAATTTTCCCGTACTTACCAATGGCCAACGACCCCATTCCTGCATTCAAAGTTAATCCAGGGTTTTTTTCCTAAACGTACGTTTTTTTTTTTAAATCTCTTAAGAGATTTTAACTGACGGAGCTCTCTCTGACACTGCAAAGTCACTGGTGACCTACTTAAAACCGCAGGAAAAGCAGACAACAACAACACTATATAAGATTCATGAGATATATTCGTCTTTTTGTTAAAAAATGCATTTATATCCACAATGTGTGCCATTCTGGGCTTTTCGTTATCCGACGCACTGTACAAAAACTCGCAACTTACGTCTGAGGGTTTCCCGCCATGTTATTTTGGTCTCGAATGAACGCGAGAATCCGCGTGACACCATTACGTCATTAGCAACGAATGCACTTGTCGACCGGAAAAAAAGGGATCGAAAGCCCTATTGACAAGCACAGATTTTAGTTTTCCTACAATAACGGCCGTTTTAGTGGTAAAATACAATAGAATATATTTCCATGCGTTGTTTACAATGTATTTCATGCGGATTTTTGAATCTCAAAGGAAGAGTTATTATTGCTTTAACTCTGGTCTGTGAAAACTATGTGTGTGGCAGTGTGTTATTCATATTTCCAGAGAAATGTTTATTTATATATTTATTTTATTTATTTTTTTTATTCATACAGACCGTCAGTATGGCAAACCACCTCCAGCACCAGTGTGCGCACCACAGCAAATCCCCCTGGCTGGAACACAACAGTATCTAAGTCCCAGTCAGGCCTTGCCATTTCAGACATACCACCTAGGTTTAGAGCTAAGAGGACATCAGAGAGTGAGGCCAGTGTTGAGCGTGTTAGTCCAGTGGGTGCTGGTGGACCAGCAGGAGGAAATACAGGCCAAGGCAAAAGTCAGCAGCGTGGAAAGCAGCCCAGTATACAATCCACTGGTAGATCCACCCCAGTAATGTCCATATCTGGGCAACCTTTACCCATTGTGCAGAGCTCCATTTCTAATGTGACAGTCAATACTGTAGGGGCATCTGGTTCACTATCCAATATGAAGGCGGACAAGGTGGAAACTGCCAAAATTCAACCATATGTTGTTCCAGGTAAGCTTCAACTTGCTACTTCTAATAGCTTATGAAAAGGAAGATTAGGTATTATTTTGTGTACTGAAACAAAATATTCTACAACTATTATAAAAATTGCTTGTTTAAATTTTTGTTTTCTAAAATAGTTGTTACTTATTTGATGACTTCAACATAGTGTTAAGCATCCTATCCACCAGTACTGATTTGACACTGTTTTTATTTGGTTTTCTCCCAGGCACCCCTTCCTCAAGGCCTAGTTCTCGTAACTCTGAGATGGACAGTATCCAGCTGGCCGACAGTCATATTGGGAACGAACAGGTTGAGGACAGTGATGAATGGCAACAGGTAAGATGGTGCAATGATCAAGTCCAGGAACAGGTAAAATTGGGAAAAAATGTGGTAGAATGGGTTCACAAAATTAATGATATGTTTACCTACATGTAGGTCGGGATTAATTTGGAAGAACTCAGGTCAATTCACCTTTTTGTGCATTAAGCTTTTTTTTCTGTTTGGTCAAAATTTATTTGGATGTTATTACACAAAGTAGAAGTAATACAATTTTTTTCTTGCAAACTCCTGCAAACTTTTTATTTTGCAGCAGATTTTTTGCAAACTTTTCATTTTGCTAAGAGTTTTAATCATCAAAATTTATGAGCTGTAATGCTTTTTTTCCAGGTGAGTAAAAAGAAAAAGAAGCCTGATGTTCTACAGGAGCACCTATCCAGCAAACCACTTCAAACAACTGGGAGCACAAAAGCCAGCAACTTTGAACGCCTTATAGGCAGACTGCTGGAGAAATTTCCAAAACTTACAAGGTACTATTTCTTAGTCATCTTATCAGAAACTAATAACTTTAAGTAATGTTGTGTTTCCTAATGTTTTTCTGTCTTTGATTAAGCATCTATCAGCATTGGACCAGTATGTAACTTGACACTGATGGTGTATACAGATAGTTTTGTACTGTTCTTCTTTTAGTGCTAGTAAATTCATCAATGCATAACTTTTGTGTGTTCATGTGTGTGTGCGTGTTTATGTATGTGTGTGTGTGTCTCTTGGGTGTCATTAAATGCACTATAAAGTCCTGTCATTTTTACCATTAGAGCTGACACAATCAACCTGTTGAAGGAACTACGTACCAGACATGGAGGGTTGCAAGGCATTGGGCTGGCCCAGATTTTAGATGAAGCAGAGGTTGTGGTGAAAGAATGGCAGAAAAAACCTGAAAGAGTAAGAATACAGTTTTAATGGAGAAATGTATATGTGCCACGTAATATCAGTGCATGATGATTTGCTTGTCTTTATTAAGGTCGTAGTTTCCTTGGAAGAAGGTCTAAAGATGATGGATTTGTATTTTTAAGTATTTTGGGATACATGAGTAGGTGTATTTTCAATTGTATGATTAATGTTAACATTTTACAAAAAGAAATGTCATTGCTTCTTGTAGTTTTAATTTTGTTTCCCTAGTTTTTAAATATGTGTGATATGTAGCCTTTCATATGCTATCACCATTTTATAACTCCACACCCTATTACTTCTAGACATTTGATTCATCAAATAAAGCAATAGAGAAAGAGATGGTTTGGCAGGCCAAGTATAAGACAGAGATATGTATGGAATGGCTCACATCTGGAAAGTGCAAGATGGGATCAAAATGTAACTTTGCCCATGGCCAGCAAGAAGTTCGTGGAATGCAAAAAACTGAGATGTGTAAATACTTCCTCAGTAAAGCTGGATGTCCATATAGTAAAGTAAGGCTGCTATGTACTAGTATGTGCCTTCTCATATGATGAACATATCATGTCATTTCTTAAAAGAGTTTACATTCATTTTTCATGTTATTATTATTAAGTTATTGAACACTGAAACATGAAACACCAGATATTTGTGTGTAACTACTATGTAGAAAGTGATATCGACGAAGTTAAAGTCCATTTGCTCAATTGTAACTGCAGAAATCGGATGGATATCTTTAATGGTAAACCTTTTTGATTTGGGTTTATAAAATGTTTGTTGCTCATCTTCCTTTACAGTGCATCTTTGCTCATGACCAGTCAGAGCTGTGCAGTCAACTCCCTAAGAAATCTGTGCCTACCAAAGCACCACAGAATGTGGTGCTGCTCTCTGATGATGAAGATGATGACGACGATGATGATGTAATTACACAGTAATTCTTTGAAAATCTTGTGTTATATATTTTAATGCAAAAAAAAAAGATTTGTTAAATCTTCTTGTGGATAAATTATTGATATTTTGCAAGAGAAAAAAGTTGAATACAGTTCTTGGAAATAACTTAAGATTTTCAGACATACTGTTTGTTTGCATTATTTGTCATCTCCTAATGTGCCTTTAGGAAAGGCCCAATATACAATACATTAAGTTTATGTGGAGGGAAGTGTAATTGCTTTTTTTATAAGAGAAATATTAAGTTTTGGGGAATGATTTAACTCACCAGAACATGAGGAGGTTTTGTTACCAAGTATTTGTCACAGCAAATGTGCACAGTTAATTGAGATGTCAAGTTTTGTTTCCTTTGCATTGCCTGTCACATTAAATTATTAACTACAGAACTGAGGCCCAATCCTATAATAGATGTATAAGACACAGTAAAGTGAACATTTGACTTTCTATTTCTAATGCATTTGTTTCTTTTATAAGGATTCTTATGAGCAGTGCGTCATCTGTTGTAGTAGTGTCAGAAATCCACAGAGTGAAAAGCGTCTGGAATGTGGACATACTTTTCATGATAAAGTAAGTTGACAAATTCTTCTGTGCTTGTGACTGGGGAGACTGGCAAACTTTTATAATTGTTGTCAGTGATGGAATGTTATGTTTTGCTCTTTATAAATGTATATGTATACACTGAACATGTTAAAGACAGTGAGCCATTCATTCCGTCTGACTTCATGTGTATAATAAATTGTACTGCATGCAAATTTTAAAGGTATTGAGCTATTTATTTCATCTGAATTGCATATATATATATATATATATATATAACAACAGCAAGCTGCTATAATGCCCATGCTTGGTTCAATGTTCTGCTTATTGTATAAGAATATCTGACCATCATTTACAAACTGTTTAAATAATTACATTTCAGTGTATCAGTAGATGGGTCCTAGGAGAAGAGAGGACTTGTCCAACTTGCCGCTCCTTAGCTTTACTTCCAGAGGAATTTCCCAGACTTTCCAAGCAATGACAGTTTTCAGAAAGGGACAAGCACAGCTGAATTTGTATACTTATTTCATAAATCAAGTGAACTTGTTTTTAAAACTAAGCTTGTACAGGTCTACTGGAAAGAGCAAAATTCTGTGGTTTAAGTTTGCGCAGAAATTGGTTGTCTGTTGATACTACTAGTACATTGCATAAACAATCTAGGCTTTCTATTACAGTTTAATTTTCTTTCAGACTTTGTTCTTGAGCAAAGGTTCAGTCATCAAATCAAAAACCAAAAAGGTTTTAAAGTTGTAAATATTACGAACATGTCTAAAAGAGTATAAATAGCAAAATCATCACTGAAGTGTTCGTGATGATAATGCAAAGTTCATTTTTTAATCTTCCAAAACACAGTGGGAGTATTGTGTTTTTAACTGCTTATATTTGAATATTTTCATTTGAAAAGATTTTTTTAGAATAAAAAGCATATTAATTAATCTTTTTTCATAGTTTTTACTCTGAAAAAAATAATTGGGTATTCTAGATTTCAAACATACTCGTACGTTTGTTTAAAAGTGTTTACAGCCCTGCTTTATCACTTTATTGAACAGGGGTATCAATTTCCTCTTTTTAAAAAAGAAGTAACACACCTATAAGACACCAGTTCATTCTATTTAAAATGTTGCAGGGGGAGTTAAAACCTCAAATCATACAAGTTATAGATGTATGCCTTTAACAGAGCCACGTTTAGAAGCACATTCAAGGTGACGTCAGTTAAGCTTGTCCCGTTCAGGAACTCCTGGAGGACCGTGCAGCAATCCCTAGGGCTGTGGGTGTTACGCACTTGGTCCCATGTGATGCGCTCGCCGCGAAATTCAGATAAGATCACCCTAATATATTGCAGTTACACCCACAGACGCTGGTTATACCATCACATGCTCCAAGGCCCTCTTCACATAGTTCGTTGCACGTGTATGTATCGAAGCATTTAGACTGGTCCTTTACATGTAGTTACGCTGCAGATTATTTTGTTTCCTTTAAAAAAACCTCTTCCCACTGTTTGGCCCCATCAAAATTTTTCTTGTTATGTGGCTCTCTTTAGGTGATTCTCTAACGTGGAACTCTCAAAGCATACCATGTTATGGTACAGCCATATCGCTGAAATATAACGCTCGGTGTGAGAAGGTCTCAATGTACCCCTATCGCTATGGACTATCACTACCCAGCAGATTAGTAGGCGTAGGACTTCAATAAATTAGAATACATGGCGTTGACACCACATTAATCTTTGTTCTTAAGTAATTAAGAGTTTATATCACTTTATTTCTTTCTTGCGTTTTTGTGGTTCTATTTTTTAATATTTGATATTTTCTGATTTGCTGGAGGTTTGCTCTGAATATCTATTTCAAAACATTTAAAATTAAATATGCTATAAATTAAGTACTTGCAGAATGCATAATACCTTTTCATATGGAATACACAGCTGAAGCTGCATTCAAAATTTATCCGTAGAAAAATCCAACTGTTCATAAAACAAATGCGTAGCATTTTATGAAATTGCATAAAACGGTTGCTTGACAAACACATATTAGTACACGCAAGTCAGTCACATGCTCACTACAGCGCATTCATGATATATAACACAGCAATATGTCAATGTTCAAGAAGTTCAGTTTTATCCACAGTGTAGAAATAATGTTTACTAGTCTTCCTATCACGTGTGAACTACTAATGGGCGTAACGTTCGCTGCCTGGAGAGAAAAGATATTCACGTGAAGTCACAGGCCAGGGGGCTCGATATGCTGGAGATAAACGAACGCCGTTTTATCGTTGACTATGCCTCTACATCTTTCAACACACTCATTCTCACACTTTCTACCCGAGTAGCAGCATCGCTAGACGGTCTCCGTTACAATGGGCTCCAAGGGCAAGTACCGTGGCATGGCCCTCCTGTTCCTGGCGGCCTTTCTCCTGTCGAGTGTATATGCAGAGGAAGTAGAAGAAGAAGAATGTGATATTCACGCGTATTTTGACGAGGGGGCAATGACTCTGGACACTTGGAAGATCGTCCTCGGTACTTTTGAACTTCTATCATTTTTAAATGATACATAAATATATGGCGTTAGGGTTTAGGCATTTCAGTTAAAAAAAAGCTTCACGTAAGAGTCCATGCGAAAAAGGCAGAGCGTACTCAAGTCTAACCGGCTGTCTAACTGAAAACCAAATACAATCTTACTTAAATTTTACACAAAATTTGTTGAATTATTATTTACACGAAACAGCAGTGTAAAAAATCTTAACCTTATTGCGTTTCTGTTTTAGGTACCATATTCTTTGTGATCGTGCTGCCCTTCATTTTCTTCGAAATACGTTTTTTCCCTGTCGAAACCACAGCTGCCGTGCTAATTGGCTCCTTCCTGATGGTGGCCTTCACCATTATTTCTCAACCTGTCACGTACGAGATACTTGGCGAGGTAGAAAACCTAAGAACCATATTCCTTTTGATGGGGATGATGTTGATGGCGCAGTACTTCGAACGCGAGCTCCTGATTAACAAGGTCCTGAACGCGTTCCTGAAAGACAACACGACCATGTTTGGTTATCTATGGAGAGTAGGACTGTTGAGTTTTATCCTGTCAGCGCTCTTCACGAATGATGCCGTCTGCTTAATTGTCACCCCCCTAGTTCTCAAACACTGGGCCAGACAAAATCGGCAGACCAATGAACTGGAGACCGTCTTGCTGTGTATTGCTACAAATGCTAATATCGGTAGTTCCATGACTATCTTCGGTAATCCTCAGATGGCTCTCATTGCCTCTGTCACCGATTCTCACCCTTACAGCCGCCTCGACCTCCTAACGTGCTTTACGTACATTGTACTTCCAGCCGTAATAGGATATTTTCTTAATCTTTTCTTTCTGCTCATGCACTATAACTACGGCTGCATGACCAAGCCTGCCTCACCTCCTCTCCTAGGCTACGACCCTGAAGAGATGAACATGGATGCTGTGGGAGATGAAAAGACCCAGTCCGTGGAAAACTCGGGAACATCAGCCAATTCCATGCGCCTAGGTGCCGACCGTAACGCTACAAAAACCACTGAGCGTTCGCAAAATGCAGGCGATAAGTCAACCGGTGGCTGCGTCGTTAATGAAAATGGCACCCTGATTACCAGCGTGACAGTGGTTGAAGAGAACAAATACAATCCGGAGGAATATGGACCCACCGAAAACAAGAAATTCCACATCTGCATGTGTTTAATCATGACTCTTGTAGTTGCCCTCTTCATAGCATCCACCAAAGAAGTTCCATTTGATATTGGTAAGTTGATGTTCAAATAAGTAGTTTTCACACTGAATTAGTATATATATATGCAGGCGTATTTACTTTCAAATTGCTTTTCAGAGTCAAAATGCTTTTTTTTTTCTTTGTTTTATGATGTATGGTAATCTTAAAACTTATCAAATTGACTGAATTTCCCATTTGAAATTTTCCCATTAAATCCCTGCAGTCTTATTTGAACCTATGTATCGTGCCTGCTTATTACAGGTTTGGTCCCAATGGCTGGTGCAGTAATGATGATGATCGCCGATGGCCTCATGAACAAGAGGAACTCCTTGCAGATCATAAAACGCATCGACTGGGACGTCCTACTCCTGTTCTTCGGCTTCTTCGTCTGGCTCGGCGCCTTTAACTACACCGGTGTCCCACGTTGGTTTTGGACAAAACTAGGGCTAGACCATAACGACATGGTAACATTCGAGGAGATAGCTCTCATGGTGAGCTTTGTCATCATAGGTTCCAACCTTTTCAGTAATGTACCCCTCTGCATTCTGGTTCTTGCACAGCTAAACCCCTGTAAGAATCAACTGGGAATGGTTCTGTATCTCGCTTGGGTGTCTACTGTGGCAGGCAACTTAACCTTATTTGGAAGTGTTGCCAACTTGATAGTTGCTCAAAAGTCTTTGCAAACGCTCAAGTTTAGACTGACTTTCTGGGCGTACTTGAAATACGGGTTTGTTACAACTATGATTATTTGCTTATTAGGAGTAGGTATAATATACGGGTTGTTACTGATTTAAACGAGAACTTCGTCATAACTTCTATTCATTTTATGGCTTCGGTAGTTTGTAAATATATATACATTTGGTGTTTACATAAATGGGTTACCTGATAGATAGATAAATAAATGATTGTATATGTGTTGTTGCTGTCCAGTTCTTCATCTTTCGTTCTGGGGATTGCCAATATGCCTGGGTTTGAATCTCATCTGTGACATAAATAAAGCAATCTATTATTAAACTGTTAAATTGATGGTTCTTTTTCGCAAACATGCACCTGTTCACTGCGACACAAACACACATGTATATTAGGTATTAAGATTGGTGAACACTGTTTAGAATGCCAGAGAATGGACTGTGTTGAAACTAGCTGCGACATGGAGAATAGATTTAACGGGATCGAGTAATATTTACAAAGATACTGTACAGAGATTTATTTTACACGGTATATTGTGTCAAGTGTGAGTGCAGATATTTTCTCGGATGTCTTGGATCAAGTAGGTGTTAATCAACGGCTTTGTTTTTAATGGCGATGTTACGCCTTGCTAAACTAGAAGTATAGAAGTTTGCGTAGACGCTGTAGTTGATTCGTTTTTTCCCAGATACTATGTAATCCATAGGAGATGATTATTTCCTGTGCAAAGGAAAAAAAGACTGCTTGCTGCCTGAGTATCACTATATTTTTTTAAAGTGAAATGGTTTGTAAACTAATGGTTTGTTGAATTTTGATTCACAAGTCATTGTATTTATTATTGGCCCATTGTTCCTAAATGACATTACTTTCTTAAAGCAGGCCAAATAAATTGACCAGCACCATTATGCAAGGGGCCTGTTTTGTTTCGATATTCTTTAAAAATGTGTAAAAACATGACATTTCACACGAGAAGCTTATTTCTTCTAATTACTTGTGCTGTTTTTCCTTTCTATTATGAAATACTTGTACTGTTTTCTTTTTTTTCTATTATGCAGAAACCAAAATTGCTCGAAAACTATTAAAAATTACCTAGAGTAATGAATACCTTACACTTTTTTGCTGGTGATTGTCATTGTATTGGAATTTTCATTCCAGCGATTTCCCTTCACGTCCTTGTAAATGTACCAATAATAAATGCACATGCGCAATAAAAAATTTCAGTAAAACATTCTACTATGTTTTATCCTTATTTCCTTGGCTTTAAGAGAAAACGAAACTGTAGTAAACGCCTGCAGGTGAAGTATTCAATTTGTTCATCTGGCTTTTTACTCCGTTCTGATACGATGCCCTTCAAGGCATTGTGTGACCTGGCCGTAACTGTATCAAGGTTATTGCTGAACAGTTTTCTGCGTTTGTCCCATAGACATCGTTACCTAACACTTGTTGTCGATAATCATACCATCTAGGGTGGACATTTCACACCGGCTCCGGTATGTCCATATGTAAGTACGAATGTAGCGACTTCTTATTCACTGTGATATATTTTAATTTAGTATTACATGGCTGATTTCTCGGAACATTACGCGTGATAAAATTGATGAACGTTTATGCCACAATGTACCTTTATATGCTGCCAGTACTACACGTTGAACGTCCAATGTCATCTTTGACACAGTACTAGAGGCTGGGTGATGGCGAGGCCTTCTTCTGCTCCATACTGACCTCAGGTAGGCCTCACAGTGAGGTAGTTCTAATTTGCACAACCCACGAACAAAAAAAAAAAAAAAAAAAAAAAAAAAACGACCGGCAGCATAGTTTAGTGTTGGCCTTAGTGACGCATTGACAGTGTATGTTTGATCAGGACAGAGACATGTGGGCACGCAAGGCAAGATTTGGACAAGGTCTACCAGGGCTAAATATTACTATGAAAAAATTGCGTTCGCGTGCAAATCATGAAATATTTGACGTGATATGTTTGATGCTCATAAGAGAACAAATAAAAAGAATAGTAGTCACCATATAATTAACTACTCATTATTTTAGAACGAAATATTCTTAAAAAGCCTTCTCAGTATGCATTTCAATCGCCATGCTTAGTATGCTTAGTTCTCCTCATCTAGAAACCTGCCGAGATAGCGTTTGGGGTCATTGTAAAAGTAAAAAATGCACTGCTGTGTTAGAGTAAGCTACATGAAGCTTGTCAATTGATCCCAATACACTTTCGTGTCTTTCAGGTGATATTTTAAGGGAAGACATATACCAGATATGGATCCCAGTGATTTTGTTCCAGTGACGGACTCCGCCTATCTCATAAACTGTTCTACCTACAACGCCACCTCGGACGTAGTAACCTACGTCACAATAACTTCAGACTGGAAAGCCATCGTCAGTTTCATCTCTATCCTTATTTCTGTGCCATTCATGTTGTTCAACATTAAGTTCTTTCCGATCGGACAGTCTGGTATGCTCCTCAGCGCTGCCCTCTTGCAGGTAGCGGCAGGTATATTGCAGTGGTCGGACGTGTACACCATTGCTAGGAAAGCGGCTCATCTACGAACCATCTTCATGATATTGGGAACAACCATGGTGATAAGGTTCTTTGCCCGTGAACGAATCCTAGCGGGTATCTTTAATGTGGTGTTGAAACGGTACGGTGACGTCAAGTTCTGGGGTTTCGTATGGCGAGTCAGTGCGCTAACGGCTGTGTTATCACCAGTGTTCACTGCTGAGGCTGCTTGTTTTGTTGCCACCCCAGCTGCACTCAAGTTCTGGAGACTTCACAGCCGAGACCCCAATGAAGTCGAGACCATTTTGCTTACCATAATTTCCTCCAGCACCATAGGTAGTGTTGTCAGTATTGTAGGCAATTTGCAAATGATGATATTAGCATCATTCACGGATTTTCCAATATTTGAGGGTTCAAGACTTGATCTGCGTCGGTCACTTTTCTACCTGGGTCCTCCTGCGGTGACTGCCTTCTTTCTTAACCTTGCCGTCCTGCGCATCCACCATGTCCTTATAAAAAACGACAAAACATATCAGAACCAAGACCTGTACAACGGCGACAGCAGCTTCGACTCTCAAGATCCAATATCTGCAGCGACCTCCTTCGAGTTGAGTGGGAGATCTATCGCCAGAGACTTAGAATCTTCCTTGACAGGTTCGGTGTTGACGTCCAAGTCTATGGCTTGGCATAATATTGTTTCAGATTCAAACTTCGAACTTTCGAGGAACAGCAACGCAAGTCGCAAGCAGTCGGATTCCGACAGAGAGGGGTGCTACACCTCAGATTCGGAAATAAGTTCTGTGTCACGCAACCGCAGCCAGCGAGGCAGTACAAGCGGGTACGACGCAGGGTCCTCGTGTATGGATCACACAGGTGAAATGAAAGATATCCCGTGCAGGAACTACCGTTGTTTAGCCCCCAGTGACTGTCTGGCGTTTCAGGTCTTGATGTGTGGCATGTTCTGTGCAATGATGATTTTATTTTTGGTGTCTCACAAGCAGTTTCACGTTGACGTCGGTAAGTGATTGCCAAGGCATTTTTTGTTGTTGTTGGTTTGTTTGTTTGGTTTGTTTGTTTGTTTGTTTGTTTTGCTATAAATTGACGGAGTGGCTTTGTACATGTATTGTAAATCGGCAGCTTCTTTCCAAAAGCGGCATGATCGGGTCATTTCTACTTAAGTTATTAATTTATTGATATACCCAAAACTGTCAAACATTTTTACTTCAGATTTGCTGAATGACTTTCTCTCGTAACAAAGCATCAGCGGAATATATTTTTAAGATTTTTTTCTTTTTAAGTGTTGTTGCTTTTATTCTTGTTTGGTGTCTTTTTAATTGCTAACTTTGCTGTCTGGTTTTCATTTTATAATTATTTGTTTATTTTTCATTAAATTATCATTCATCTATTAATTAATTTTGTCAGATATCAATTACATCGACTTGTACTCAAAAAAATGATATGCGTTTAAAACTTTTTCCAAAACGTTTCGTACAACGTGACTGGAGTTGTCTTGGCAATATTTTCCAGCCCAGAAGCAAAAAATGGTTATCGCATTAGAAAAACCATTGTGTTACTTAGATATATCCTTGAGCTACTGCTGCATAAAACACCCAGTTCGATTAAATTATACATATTTTGTATGTTTTAACATTCATTCTAATTATTATTTTCCTAGGTTTGCTACCATTTGGTATCTGTACCTGGCTCCTGCTACTCGACGCCGTTATCAACCAGCGCAGCCCCATCCCTATGGTGCGAGCTATGGACTGGGCCGTGTTTCCTACCCTCATGGCCTACTTCATCTGGATGGGTGGCGTCAACAACAGCGGCCTGTCGCACTGGGTGTCAAAGAACATTGGTCTATCCAATCCCGCCCTTGGTCAAGCCAAGGATATTGCTGTGTTAATTCTAGTGATTCTTTTCGGTTGCTATTGCTTTACAAGTGTACCATTCCTCTTGGTTGTGTTGGGTAACTTAAAACCGTGTACCAAACAACTCCCATTCGTACTGTACGTGGCCTGGGCTGCCACTATGACTAACATGGTAACGCTTTATGGCAACAGTACCAACATGATGGTGGTTAACAGAGGCATCCAAGATATCGGTTATCGTCTGACTTTTTGGAGGCTATTTAAATACGGTCTCCCCGCCTTAGTAGCTTCTGTGGCATGCGGAGCGATGGTAATTTATACAATGCTACTAATTCCGTGGACACCGTGAACTGAGTTTAGTGTTCTTTTTGTTCATTCCTGTAAATGCTTTTATATCAAATCCATTTACATTGCGTAAACTCGGCGTCTACGATCGTTGTCCACTGATCATTTGGGTACTTAATAAACGAGTTAGTCTTTCATTAATTAAATAAACTTTTGTCTGATTGTCATTAAAGGGTTTTCAAATTCCTCTTTTTCGGCAGGCCGCATAAATAACTAGAAAAGCACTCCGAGAGCGCAGACCTCCGCAGAGGCAGCGATTTTTTATTATTATTGATTATTGATTGATTATAGATCCAGATCACCACCAAAAACTAATCATCTCTTTCTTGGCCCACTTCTGAGAGTTTCTGAAAATTTCATCAAAATCGGTCCACAACTTAGTTTTTTATCATTGATTATTGATGGATTATTGATCCGGATCACCACCAAAAAATAATCATCTCTTCCTTGGCCCACTTCTGCCAGTTCCTGAAAATTTCATCAAAATCGATCCATAACTTTTTGAGTTATGTTGATGGCAGACAGACAAACAGGGGTGAAAACATAACCTCCTTGGCGGAGGTTATAATCAGGCGGCGCTTGATCATCGTTTGTGATTTAAGAAGAGATATATTAGAGTTTGAGCGAAAGTTGAAATATCATGTACTTCTTTCAAACGTGCTTGTGAATGTACTTTCTTCCAGATGAAAAATACAAAATAAGTTTTTTTGCCATTCTTGATCTTTATTATAAATAATTAAATATAGGCCAACAAATTCTTCTTTAAAACACTGTCGAATATTGCAAACGAGTTAAAATGTTTCCAGCCTATTTACAGTATTTACAAAAAAATGGATAGTAAAAGGTACGAACATCAGTTCTTCATGCTGTTTATCTAACATAATATAATATAATATAATAATGTTTAGGGGCACTATGTTGGGATCATTCTTTACAAGTGACATGGTATTTGTTTGAGAGAGAACAAGTTATAGTAACTTATAGTAACTTTACTTTTGGCAACGTACTAGTACTTTTTTCCTCAGTGTTTTGATGCCCTCATTACATGCATTTCACAAAAACCATCTTGAATATTTTTGAGTCTTTTTCTCATTTTCTGCACTAGCTGGAACTTGGTACCTCACACAAAGCCATAGAATGCCCAGCCCCAGCTCCAATCAATACTGTCCTGAACGTATCCAGTGTTTTGACTGTTTGAGGAGTCATTACATTGATTTCATCCCCTGTGCCACATATCCCATGCTCATTCCAACCCCAGGTGAGAACTTTGCTGTCAGCTAGTAATGGATTAAGGATTGATAACTTGATATCTATTATATATGTAGTTCAAATATGAAGTGGAAGTTTCAAATAACAAAAATAAACAGATTAAGTTTTATGATACATCTGAAATGTCATAATTATTCAAACCTCACAGAAAAAATTCATAACTATAAAAGCCTAAGTGTAAATAATATTAAAATGTAATGACAGGAATAAAAATCATTGATAATAATAAAAATAGGGAATTCTTTAAGACTTCTAAAAGATTAATTATTTTTATTACCTGTAATTGCTAGGCTGTGCTCTGATCCACAACATAACTGAGATACCTGTGGAATGGACTCAATGGGTGTTGGGGTGAAATCACACAACTGACCACTCTGGACTGGTCTTCCTAACTGCCCATAGTCAGCCCTACCCCAACTGAACACCTGGCCATCATCTGAAACCCAGTGAAACTGATCTGAGGAATAATGTTGAAACTATTAAATTCAAACAAATTTTTAAAGTAGGGATGGGTTGAAACAGTCACACAACATAAAATACACTAATAAAAATAATACATGTGCTTATGTTATCAAACAGCAGGTTAAAAATTACAACTGATTTTTCTATTTTTATGATCCTAAGGAAGGATATTTACCAAATACAGTATCATATACCTGTGACTGCAAGGAGATGTGTCCACCCACTGTAGACTTGACACACTTTTTTATTTCTAAAAACTTTCTGTGGCACACAGTGAGGTCTGTTAACCTGTGGCTGGGTATGTGGATCTAGTGCACATTGGCCATATTTATTGCAACCCCATACAAACACCTGGCCCTGATCTGGATAAAGTAAAATTAAAAATTAAACCTTCAAATATCTTACATGCTCATGATCTATTACTTATTATTTTGTAAGCATTCTTTATGTTTTTAAGCACTTCAAACTTCTTGACAAAAAATTATCAATAACTTTGTTCACAGTTCCAACGATTTCTATTTACTAATGTTTTTGTTTTAATTTGAAACACATGTGTTTCACTCTTGACAAACCTTGAAGGTTTTCTATCTGGGATTTTTGCAACAAAAAGTACTTCACTGACAGAAAAAAAAACTCCTACCCATGAATTAAAGCTTGGGAATTGCATAGGTAGACAAACAATATTACATCAGGACAGTTTTTAACATACATAGTATACCTTTGTAATAAATTCTGCTCTTTATGAGGTGATCTATCAGGTAAAACCCTGTTATGAAAGCAAAAACTATGACATTTCATTAATTTAATAAAAACTAATTATTTTAAGATTACCTGACAAACATGCTGTGTGATGTGACCCTGCTACTACTTGTGTTGCAGTCATAGGACCACTTGGAAATGCCACTAAAATTTATATACAAAATTTAGTTATAAGACTAAAAGTTATGAACAAAATGTTGTAAAATACTTTCAAGAGATAAAAAAATAACAGAAAATAAATTAATCCAAAAGAAAATCCTGTTGATTGCATACTTTTGATGTCTTAAAATGATTTCAAGAGATTAAAAATTACAGATATGAATGTATTAAAACAAAAGAAAATTTTATGGAAATATTGCTAGCACAAATTACTTACCTTCATTTGGGGTTGTCACAATTTTTGGGGGAACATCATTAACCAGTACACCTTGTTGTCCCTTTTTCCCACTTCCCATTGTTAAAACATTGCCTTTCTCTACATTCAAGAAGATGAAGACTGAAAATTTTCTTTTTTTTTGTATAACTTTATAACTATACCATGATACTGACAATTCATATCTTCGAAACATTAAAAAGTAAAAATGATAATGTCAAACAGAAAGATAAAAATATGATCATGTTTTACATATTCTGCCTACCTGTCAGAAGCACTGAATGTCTCAAACCAGTAGAGAGATCTTTGACTAGGCAATTCAAATTTACTGGTGTCTGGAAAAAAAATTGATTGTGTCAGTTGAGATTTCATAATGCCTCAATATTACAGTAATAATACTAGCTTTAAAAACACAAATGTACAGTCTTAATATTGTGCTTCATATCAAAAAGTTGGCAATAAGCAAATGTGATTGAAATAAGTTTAGAGATACATGTGCAGTATATGGGTAGATCAATATTAAATCTAATCTATATAATGAAGTTAACTTCATGCTTACAAGAGCAACAACACACTACTGTATGAATACCTTAACAGTTAATCAACTCACTGGGCTTGAGACATAAGATTGCACAGGGGTCAAACCAAGCTGACCAAACATGTTAGAACCACATGCATACAGTTTTTTTTCATCTGGAAACAAAACACAAGGCAGCAAAGCTGTCAAATGTACAGACAAAAAACAGAAAATAAAGATGCAAAAAAGGTCATTTTGTCAATTTTGATGCAATAATAAATAATGCTTATAATAGCACTGTCAGTCAACACTGAATTTTAATCTTGCACAACAGGTAACATGGTCAATAACAGGAGCGGACCCAGAGATATTTTCTGATAGTATTACAAAGTATCNTAAAAAAAGGACTTAAAAATAAATATCTGGCATTCAACATGTAATGTAAGAAAATCTTAAAACCAACAAATTAACACAGCCAAATTTACCTAAAAATATACACTTATTATTTTTACATAACGTTATAAAATGGTGTAAGAATATTATATCAAATAAAAATCCATAGAGAAAGGAATAAGGTTTCCCACTAATGTTACATTAAGGAAGTCTTTCTGAGAGTTTTAATTATTCTAAGACAGCTAGTTTCTCCTCCTCTAATAAAAAATCATTGCATACTTGATAACACCAAGGTGAAGTCCCATCCTCCTTTGGCACAAACAGTGAGTTCCTTTTCTAGTGCCTTCACTATCTGTGGCCTGAACATTTCTTCTGTATGTTGCAAACCAAGCTGACCCTTATTATTATTGCCACATGCAAATAACTGACCACTATCTGAAAAGTGTTATACTGTAGTAATAAACAATTGCCATACTTAGAAGAATCCTAAAGAACTTCAAACATTTAGTGACAAATTCTGTCCTTATGTACACAACATATCTATCCCACTTCCTCCTATAACACAGTTCAAAATTGTTTATTTTTCCTTTACCTGTAAGTAATAATGTATGTCCTCCTCCACCTGTGGCATGTCTCAAAGGTATGTTGAAGTCCTCTGTTGTTTTTGGCAACATTTGGTCTTCTGTATGTCCTAACGCAAGCTGACCATGACTGTTGGCACCCTAAAATTTCATTTTAAAAGAAAAATTAATAAATTAAATTAAATACAATAAATTAAATACCAAGATTAAAAGGTTTCACTCTGGCTAACTGTGGGGTCATTTCTAAAATTATAGTGTTTTTGGTTTTAGTTGAAAAGAGAATTAATGGATTTTAGATTTTAATCAATTCACAAAATTAATTTTTAACAAACATCAGACAAGGGCGTACCTTTTCAAAGCGCTCAATCAAGTTTAGATCAAAAGGGGCTTCCCTATTATTAATAAACATTGCATTCAGGGGCGGATCCAGGATTATTTAAAAGGGGGGGTGGCACAGATGCGAAGCTGACCCTCTCACCCCCCTCCCCAGCTCCTTTGCGGGGGGTTCGGGGCCCATGCAGTGAAGGCCCCAAAAATGTTGGGTATTTTAGAGGGTGAATGGGGCCATTTGGAACTATGATTCAGTTAGTCAAAAGTCTAATTTCAGGAAGGGACCGTTGGTGTTATTTTTTCAAAAATCGGGGTGTTAGGGCCACCTTGACCCCCCTCCCTAAATCGGCCGCTGGCATTTGTGATTATAATGTAGGTCACAGCTTTTGACGACACAGAATGACACAATGCAAGCAGGTGTTTGTATCTTACCTTCTACAGAATAAAATTGCAAAAAGCACATAACTAAAAGTTTTCTTTTTAATTCTATTGGTTTTGCAAGGTTATAACGACTTGCAATAAGGACGATTAAATCTTAAAAATTCACAAACCCATGCAAAAAACTTCCTGCAGGGGGCTTCCATTTTGAAGTGCCCCGTATGTAGGTTAGAGATATGATATCACGTGACCAAAATCTGTACTCTGATTGGTGAACAGGTGCCAGCACGCGATTGGGCTTTTATCTCCTTTGAACAATTCGCCCCAAAAAACAAGTAGAATTATATGAAAAAGAGAATAACTTATCAATTTTTTAAGACAATAGGTTTGAAAATTTAGATTTAATGAATACACATTCAAATGCGTGTAACATTTTTTATTCTCAAAATATTGCTTTTTTTACAATACATGCAAATTATTGACATTATAATGCGAGGGAGGGAGCGCGCTAGACAGAAGTGCACCAATAGAGGTGAAGCTTGTGCTCTGGATGGCTCATGATTCGCCGTCCATTTCAGATTGATTTCCATAGCCAATCAACTCGGGTTCGTCCGGATTTCACCCAATGTAAGTGCTCCTTATTCTTATGTTCTTGTTGACAGTTGTAGACGCACGTGTTGAAACAAAATATAAACAGGAAATGAGCCCAAAACCGGACGATTACTTTATTAGCCAAAAAAGACAATGTTTATGTATATTGTAGTAGACCTTTGTGTATCGGGTTACAATTTACGTCTAGATCATTAACATACAGAATCACACATCACATTGTTAAGGTGTACACTAAATGCAGTACGTTGATTTGTTTTGGATCTAGTCTAGTTCTTTTTGGCGTAATTAAGCATTAGATGCATGAAAATTTGAGAGCAATGATGTTAACAAGAACTGTATTATGCTTTGGGCTGACAAGCTTCTTGCACCTGTACCTCTTGCATTGTTATCTGTATGTCATGCACAAATATTTCGACATGTACAAAAATTCTGTTTTTGTTAAACAACCAAGGCACTGCATATTTTAGCATGTTACTTATGACTGGTAGATGGTTCCAAAATATGTAGAAAAATACAATGTTTCATGTTGACATCACAGAAAAATTACAGCTGGGCATATAATTTTATGACATTCTTAATTTGTGTGAGGTCATATTTATTATTTTACAGTAAGGCATTGAGATGGAGCAATTTCAAGTGACCACAGCATCTGATGGTCAGCAGCAGCCCTCACAAGTTATCATGCAGCCTTCACAGGTCCAAGGCTTGCAAACACAGGGACAGGTATAGGAATAACTGTATTAAATACAAATAATCAGTATAAAATATTTCAATAAGTATCAAGGAAAAAAGATCCATATATATGTATCAGACAAATTGAAAGTTTGGAAGTGTTTGTCCTGTTGCATTCATTGAGGTTAATCAGTGTTGTTAAAGCTTCTGCTATGTCCATGCAATAATTAAAATTCTAATATAAACTTAATTTTAAATGTTGGGAATTAATAAAAAGGTATATAATGTCAATGTCTATTTTATTTAGTTGGTACAGATAAATCAAGGCCAACTAATGTCTGGCCAGCAGATTATCACCATGCCCCAGGGACAGACTCTGCAACTAGCTGGACAGCAGGGATTTCAGCAGGTTAGGAAAAAAATTCATCCTTCAAAGTATGTTACAATTAAATTCTGTTGTGATCCAAGTCGTGTACAGTTTTGATTTGTAACAGTAACTAAAAAACAACCCACTAGGAGTATTTGAATCTGATAAAGGCTGTTGAAATACCCACTCAGTGGTACGTACTCTTATTCTTAATATCTTTTAATACAAGATAACTTTGTAATGCTTGTTTATTCCTCCCTCTCCTCCCACAGCCCAATATTTTGTTAATAATGTAATAATCTTTATTAATGGTAGTTTAGTTTGTAAAATTGTTGTCTTCAACTTAGCAATTATAACAAATACATGACATCAAAAATGGAGTGTTTTGGAACATAGTTGATGTTGCATACCCTTTAATTTGTGAAGTGCATGCAAAATGCAGCTGCATTTTATGTTGATAAAATTCAATAAATGTAGATAGATGTAAATGTATAATTTGTAAAGCTCCAAATAAAAGTATAAATGATGGCAGTGTCAGCCACAGTATATTGGCTAGAATGTTGTCATGTGTCAGCAAGCATGGTAATGGGAATGCTGTAGAACACTGCTTACATTTACTCTGTACATGTTATTTACAGAATTTTTTTTTCGCCAACATGCTCATATATTCCTTTGTTTCATGCATTTCAATGTTCCAAAGTGTATGTTGTTTCATTATAAATTAATTTACAATTCATAGCAAACATTTACACTGAAATTAGTACTCAGCAGAGAACAATAGAATAACAGTGCACTTAAGAGGTTTTCTATGACTTAATAGTACACATTTATATAAAGTTCAGTTTGACTAATTTCTGCCCATCTAAACAAATTGGTGTTAAATAAAAGCAGAAGAGAGCAAACATTCTGGCCTAGCTAGCTTGATTATTCCACAAATCATTGTTGCTGGAAATTCACAGACCACATCAATATTTATTAGCATGGAAAGCCTTTTCACCTGTGAAGATGGGCTATTTGTGAGTGACATCACTTTCCAGTTTATCAGCCCCAACCCCTGTAACATCTTTTCAACACCTAGGACATTGCAGGACACTGACACAATTGACTGGAAAGTGACGCCACATGCATATTGCCTTAATATTCAGGGATCATGTTAGTATTATAGCAATTTTACAACATTCTATATCATCTTTAAGGTGCACAGTGTAGGATTTTCTTGACACTTGCCATATTTCTGTTATAATCAGGGAGAATTAAATTCCTCAACCCATGCTTAAAGTAATTGTTTTAAAGTTTTGCCATTCTCACTAGCTCAGTTCTCATGCTAACTTCTGGATTCTGCACAATTTAAAACTTGGCAAGATGGTTGACCATGGTGAGGTTCTTTGGAGTGGTTAAATTTGATTATTCTATACAAGATTTATCAAAGAAATATCTCTCCAAATATGAACAAAAAGTATAACTTGGCCTCAGATATGTTCATCAAGAAATTGTTTATGTACTTACGGAGTGTTTAAAATCCTACACTTTGTTACTTTAAGCAAAACCATGTTGCTTAAAGGAATAATAACTCTTCGTATGAGATCTATATTTCACAATAAAAACATTGTGAATAACTCATAGAAATATGATATATTCTGTTTTACCACAAAAATGGCAGTTATAGCTATTATTCTGATATCTGAGCTTGTCTTTAGACCACGTAGTCTAGATGACTGGTGCAAAAATTGCTCAAAAGGTGGAAAAAGCATGAAACTTGGCACAAATGTTCTTTGGACTATGCTGATCATTTTCAAGGGCAGTGCCCAAAATTTCAAAGCGTTGCTTAGCAACCGTTGCTAAGGAAGTGATTTACCTTAGTAACAAGCTAATTGGACCTTTCTTGTTCAGTTTAAATTATTTAAAAAGGCTTTTAATAATGTTTCAAACCATCAGAACTATCACTATACTATTTTAAGACATTAAAAACCCAAGTAAACCATTGCAACAGTTGCTAGGCAGCATATTACCCTAGCAACAAGTATTTAACATGCTGAATTAGCCCAGACAGTTAGTGTTAAGGTTGATTTTTTGTTGAGTTCCTCTAGACAGAGGGGATTTCAAATGTCATTTATAATAGCATTGATGTAAAAAAACCAAAATCATTTTTACACCATCTTTTATGGAAAATAGTTTTTTAATTTCTTTCAATTTTTGAGTTTTGACATAATGGTTGTGATAAGATTTCATCTGGGGTTAAACTGAAATTTTCCTGAATTTCA